TCCAAGATGGTCTTCAACTCATGGCCTGGACGATTTCAGGGGATCCTGGTATGTCCCAGGACTTTCTGACTCGTCTCGAGGACTCCTCTGAGATTCATGGGCCCCCGGAACTCTTAGAGCATATCTTTCAGCATGGCGTTTCTAGGTTAGCTGGTGTTTGTAAAGGGATATTGATGAATATTAAGAACTTCCTATCCTCCCCCTTTGACAAAGGAAAGCCTTACTGTACCATAGACATTCTTCGTTCTACTATTTTGGCATATCCCGACTGATGCATTTCTGGTTGGGAAACAACCTTCTGTTTGCAGGTTGTTACAGGGTATTTGTCTTTCTCGACCCTCAGCTCCCTCTATACACCCAATTCTGGGATGTTGCTCAGATTTTCTAATTCCTGGAAGCATTGCCTCCAAATTCAGAACTTTCCTTGCACAAACTCTCAACCAAACTAGCCTTATTGCTTTGTTTGGTTTCCTTTCGTCGAGTTTCTGACATCATGGACTTTGACTTCCACGCTATTGCATTCACCCTAAGGGGGTTTATTTTTCCGTTGTTTGTCATGCAAAGGTTCTTTCCACCTCCGTTTTTTTATCCTTACTTTCCAGATAAACCTTTTCTTTGTGTTGTTCGTTGCTTACAGCTATATGTCACTCTTATCTCCCCTCTTCAGGCTCAACTGGGACCTCTGTTTGTATTTTATATTTGTCCTCATAACCCTGTGTACTGTCACATGATTACTTGTTGTATTAGATGGCTTCTACGTCTTGCAAGCATTGAAGCTTCCTTTGGTGCCCATTCAGTATGGGGCACGGCTGTGTCTTCTTCCTTGGTCCCCAGGGGGTGTTCTTTCTTCTGCTGATTGAGGACAATCCACTTTACATACCTTATATTTCCAACCTGCATCTCACATTTATTTCCATTTACTCTCCAGGCGTTAAAACAGCAAATATAAAGCTTCCTGTCTTGCCATAAAATTAGGGATTATTCTAGCTGCAATGACTGAATAATCTAAATTTTATTAAAGACAGGAGGTGAATATTTTCCCACCCGTTGGCTTTTCTAAATCTTTCAATGTCCCACCCCTTTATTTTGTTCACTTGTGGATACTCAGGTAAGGTCTTACATGCATTATACTTGTCTTGTATATCTTTTGATCATGGTTTTATTGTAAGATCTTTACATTACTCTAGTTTTCATAATATACAGGGAGTGCAGAATTATTAGGCAAATGAGTATTTTGACCACATCATCCTCTTTATGCATGTTGTCTTACTCCAAGCTGTATAGGCTCGAAAGCCTACTACCAATTAAGCATATTAGGTGATGTGCATCTCTGTAATGAGAAGGGGTGTGGTCTAATGACATCAACACCCTATATCAGGTGTGCATAATTATTAGGCAACTTCCTTTCCTTTGGCAAAATGGGTCAAAAGAAGGACTTGACAGGCTCAGAAAAGTCAAAAATAGTGAGATATCTTGCAGAGGGATGCAGCACTCTTAAAATTGCAAAGCTTCTGAAGCGTGATCATCGAACAATCAGCGTTTCATTCAAAATAGTCAACAGGGTCGCAAGAAGCGTGTGGAAAAACCAAGGCGCAAAATAACTGCCCATGAACTGAGAAAAGTCAAGCGTGCAGCTGCCACGATGCCACTTGCCACCAGTTTGGCCATATTTCAGAGCTGCAACATCACTGGAGTGCCCAAAAGCACAAGGTGTGCAATACTCAGAGACATGGCCAAGGTAAGAAAGGCTGAAAGGCGACCACCACTGAACAAGACACACAAGCTGAAACGTCAAGACTGGGCCAAGAAATATCTCAAGACTGATTTTTCTAAGGTTTTATGGACTGATGAAATGAGAGTGAGTCTTGATGGGCCAGATGGATGGGCCCGTGGCTGGATTGGTAAAGGGCAGAGAGCTCCAGTCCGACTCAGACGCCAGCAAGGTGGAGGTGGAGTACTGGTTTGGGCTGGTATCATCAAGATGAGCTTGTGGGGCCTTTTCGGGTTGAGGATGGAGTCAAGCTCAACTCCCAGTCCTACTGCCAGTTCCTGGAAGACACCTTCTTCAAGCAGTGGTACAGGAAGAAGTCTGCATCCTTCAAGAAAAACATGATTTTCATGCAGGACAATGCTCCATCACACGCGTCCAAGTACTCCACAGCGTGGCTGGCAAGAAAGGGTATAAAAGAAGAAAATCTAATGACATGGCCTCCTTGTTCACCTGATCTGAACCCCATTGAGAACCTGTGGTCCATCATCAAATGTGAGATTTACAAGGAGGGAAAACAGTACACCTCTCTGAACAGTGTCTGGGAGGCTGTGGTTGCTGCTGCACGCAATGTTGATGGTGAACAGATCAAAACACTGACAGAATCCATGGATGGCAGGCTTTTTGAGTGTCCTTGCAAAGAAAGGTGGCTATATTGGTCACTGATTTGTTTTTGTTTTGTTTTTGAATGTCAGAAATGTATATTTGTGAATGTTGAGAGGTTATATTGGTTTCACTGGTAATAATAAATAATTGAAATGGGTATATATTTGTTTTTTGTTAAGTTGCCTAATAATTATGCACAGTAATAGTCACCTGCACACACAGATATCCCCCTAACATAGCTAAAACTAAAAACAAACTAAAAACTACTTCCAAAAATATTCAGCTTTGATATTAATGAGTTTTTTGGGTTCATTGAGAACATGGTTGTTGTTCAATAATAAAATTAATCCTCAAAAATACAACTTGCCTAATAATTCTGCACTCCCTGTATGTATATTGCATAATTATTGACACGACTTGTCACAGTGTTTGTTTCTGTTTCTGTATGACTGCCAGTCTACCAATCACACCATACTTTCACAAATTTTATTTTCGTTCTAGTGTGAAGTTTCTTCTTGTCCTTCACAGCATCCTTGATTCGTCCCTTCATTTGACTCTTTATGTCTCATTTACATGGTTGACTATGCTTTGTGTTTTGCAGAATATTTTCTGGTTTACACGGTGAACTTCAAGTTTCGGCTGCATCAAGAAAGAGGAGTTGGGAGGAGTCTCATAGCCACATATTACTGTATTGATGTCTTCTGATTGGTTGATTTTGTTTTCAATTGTTTAACTGTTTCTTTGCTAATAATCTAAATTTTAGTAAAGACAGGAGGCGAATATTTGCTTTACTTTCTTTACTGAATCCTCCCAGCAAAGAAAGTAAAGCAAATATTCGCCTCCTGTCTTTAATAAAATTTAGATTATTGGGGGCGTGTCCTGACCGCGGATGTGAGCGGACGTGTGAGACCGGAGCTCCTCCGACATCTCGGCTAACACAGCGTGGTTTAAGCAGCAAACTGCCGGCTAAAGCCAGCAACATCAAGGGGAATTACCCTCTCACTAAATGGCGGCAAAACCGCAACGAAAAATGAAGCAGAAAACAATGCATGCTCATCTGGAGAGGCACCACAGCACAGAGCATGGCGAACAAGATGGCGCCGATAGGCCCAACTCCCCAACATGTGACCCTGAAGCAGGGGATCACAGACATAGCCAAGACAGCCCAGCCACAAACTCTTCCATCAGATCAATCATGCTGGAGCTTAAATCCTCATTTAAAGCAGACTTGCAGAAAATAGCATCAGACATCAGATCAGACATAAACAGCATTGGGGAACGCACAGCGCGCCTGGAAGAGCGCACAGAGGAATTGATTGATGCACACAACTCCATGGCAGAGGCACATGCATCCCTATTACAGAAGCTCAAAATACTGGAAGGGAAGGTAGCAGACCAGGAGGATAGAAGCAGGAGGAACAATATCCGCATAAGAGGTATCCCAGAATCTGTCACACAGACAAGATTAACCCAATATGTGCAGGACTTATTCAAAATGCTTATCCCCTCCCTGGCTGATGCGGAGTTAATCCTAGATAGGACACACCGACTCCCTAAACCCAGGCACCTACCACCTGACACGCCAAGGGACACCATTACGAGGGTCCACTACTACCTAATCAAAGACCGCATCATGCAAACAGCCAGAACGGCAGGCCGCTGGCCGGAACCATACACAGACATCAAGCTCTTCACAGACCTCTCATCAACAACCATGCTTGCACGACGCACGTTCGCGCCCATCACCGCAGCACTAAGAGCAGCAAATGTACCCTACAAATGGGGTTTCCCTACGAAGCTACTGATCAAGCGGAATGGCGTGGACAAACCAATCCTCAGCCCAGAAGAAGGAAAGAGGATCCTCCAGGAATGGGACATCCCGCTACACGACAACGACCCCAAGGGACCACATTTGAACGCGGTACCAAAACCCCTCGCAAAAGATTGGAACCGAACAACGAAAACCCCGCGCACTTCCGCCGACCGCAGAACCTCTCCTCCATGAAGGAAGCTCCTGATTAAACCTATGTCGGTGAAAACCGAATGGACTAGACGTACAGGTTTTATACTTTTTCTTTAACTTGTTTCCCCTTGTAATCTGCTCTAATATTACCGGTTAAATGTTTTTAGCCCAAGCCGTGACAGGGAGGAGGAACTCCCAAACCCGCCTTACCTACACCCAAGCACTGCCACAACCACGAGCATTGTGGTTAGTGCCAACCGGCTCCACGTGGGCCACCCCCAAGGCTCTTAAGGCCTCCTGAGAGCCATACTTGTCCGTTGCTTGATGCGACCTAATGTCCCCATATGGCGACATACGGAACTTTGTATATAGTTATTACCCTGTTGTTTTCCCTCTTCCCCATGCCAGCATACCCGTAAAGGCGTTCTACCTATCTTGCAAGACAACTCTGAATCCTTTATATTCATGTGCGCAGCGACCCAAACGTATAGGTCAGTGATGGCGAACCTATGGCACGCGTGCCACAGGTGGCAAGTAATCGGCTGCGTTGGCCAGGTAAAAATGCGCCAAATTTTCTCTCTGTGGGCACGCCGCCACAGTTCCGCTATCATCAGAATAGGCACTCCGCCTGAAACGCAGGCGCCTACCTGTTGCAGCCGGGAGCTCCAGGAAGCAGCTCCCCTGTCCTCGCCACATGCTGTGTGAGCCGCTACCGCCAAGATTGGCCACCATGGCAACGCCTCCACACAGCATTGGCGCTGGAGGACAGGGGAGCTGCTTCCTGGAGCCCTCCCCTGCAGTGCTTACCACCACCGACCAATTAGATCGTTGTCCCCCCACTTCATTAAAGGTAAGAAGGAGGGAGGGGGGTATACTGACACAGCACCCTTACCCCCCCAGAAGTACCCCCCCAGCAGTAACCCCCACGCCCCCCAGCAGAACCCGTAACCCCCACTCCCCCAGCAGTAACCCCTACCCCCAGCAGAACCCCTAACCCCCCAGCAGAACCCCTAACCCCCCAGCAGAACCCATAACCCCCCAGCAGAACCCCTACCCTCCCCAGCAGTACCCCTACCCTCCCCAGCAGTACCCCTACCCTCCCCCAGCAGTAGCCCCCTACCCTCCCCCAGCAGTAACCCCCTACCCTCCCCAGTAACCCCTACCCCTCCCCCAGCAGTAACCCCCCACCCCCTAGTAGCAGTAACCAACCCCTACCCCCCAAGTAGTAACCCTTACCCCTCCCCTTAGCAGTACTTCCTACTCCTCCCTAGTATAGTACTTTCTACTCTTCAATACTTAATAGTACCCTCTACTCCCCAGCATTCATCTCTTACCCCTCATTAAAAGTATCTTGAATTTCCCCCACACACAGTACCTCCCTACCCCCACAAACTCCCTGACCTCCCCAGCATGCCCCTACCCCCACACACACAGTACCCCAACCCTCCCAGTTAGTACTCCCCACCCCCACACACAGTACCCCCCCCTACTCCCCTCACACAGTACCCCCACCCCCTCCCAGCAGTACCCCTACCCCCCACACACAGTACCCCTACCCCCCCGCAGCACCCCTCATATACAACACTCACACACACACGCACCCCGCACCTCAATGCAGTATGTGTGTATTCAGCAGTGTCTGTGTGTGTTTGCGTGTATTCAGCGGACTGTGTGTGTGTACTCAGCAGTCTGTCTGTGTGTGTGTACTCAGCAGTCTGTCTGTGTGTGTGTATTCAGCAGTCTGTGTGTGTGTATTCAGCAGTCTGTGTGTGTGTGTGTACTCAGCAGTCTGTGTGTGTGTGTGTACTCAGCAGTCTGTGTGTGTGTGTGTACTCAGCAGTCTGTGTGTGTGTACTCAGCAGTCTCTCTGTGTGTGTGTACTCAGCAGTCTGTGTGTGTGTACTCAGCAGTCTCTCTGTGTGTGTGTGTACTCAGCAGTCTGTGTGTGTGTGTACTCAGCAGTCTGTGTGTGTGTGTGTGTACTCAGCAGTGTGTGTGTGTGTGTGTACCAGCAGTGTGTGTGTGTGTGTGTGTACTCAGCAGTTCGCGGTGTGTGTACTCAGCAGTCTGTGTGTGTGTACCAGCAGTCTGTGCTTGCGTACTCAGCAGTCTCCCTCTGTGTGTGTACTGTGCAGTCGTGTACCAGCAGTGTGTGTACTCAGCAGTCTCGGTGTGTGTGTGTACTCAGCAGCCCAGTGTGTGTACTAAAGCAGTCTGTGTGTGTGTGTGTGTGTACTCTGCAGCAGTGTGTGTGTGTGTGTGTGTACTCAGCAGTGTGTGTGTGTGTGTGTACTCAGCAGTGTGTGTGTGTGTGTGTACTCAGCAGTGTGTGTGTGTACTCAGCAGTGTGTGTGTGTGTTTGTGTGTACTCAGCAGTCTGTGTGTGTGTGTATTCAGCAGTCTGTCTGTATGTGTATTCATCAGTCTGTGTGTGTATGTATTCATCAGTCTGTCTGTGTATGTATTGCATTTGTTGGAGATACTAATAAATATAAGCTTAATTTTATCTATTTATATCATTATTTAAAATTTGTATCATTGAACTCTCTGTGTTCTTTTAAAACAAAAGTTATTAGTTCGGACAACAGTTCGAGTTGTTTTTTTCTAAACTTAAACCTCAGTATTTGGGTTTAATTGCCGTGTTGGCACTTTAAGGAGAAAAAATGTTGGCATGTATTGCGGTTTGGGCACTCGGGCTCAAAAAGGTTCGCCATCACTAGTATAGGTCATGGTAATTAAAATTATGTCCCTAAACGCAAAAGGGCTTAACTCCCCGCACAAGCGCAGGCTGGCTATACAAGAGGCAAGGAAAAGTGGCGCTCTAGTGGCGTTCTTTCAGGAGACGCATTTCAGGTGGAAAGATAGACCAAAATTCACCTCTAAATGGTTTCCCCATGACTTCCAGACCTGTTTCACGGCCAAGCAAAGAGGTGTTTCCATTCTAGTTAGTAAGGATGTAGTATTCTCCCTGGTTCGCAAAATAACTGATAGAAAAGGGCGCTACCTGATTTTGCAATGCCTTCTTAACAATAACCCATATACGCTAGTCAATATTTACAGTCCTAATGAAAACCAACACGAATTCCTAACCTCGACTCTGGCCACACTTGATATGTACAAATATGGGGAGGTAATCATTGGAGGCGACACAAACTTCTTACTAGATAGTGAGTCTGACTCATCCACCGCTGCAGGGCTCTCTAAAAACACCCTGAGGAGACGAGCGGCTCTAACAGCCAAAGTATGCGCCACACTAGCTTCTCACCACTTAGTAGACCCATGGCGCATCCTCCACCCCACAGAAGTTGACTATACATGCCATACACTGGCACACAACAGTTACTCCCGCATAGACCGCTTTCTCATCCCCGCATCCTCCATAACTAATATAGAGGAAGCTAATATTGGAACAATATCATGGTCAGACCATGCACCCGTCACCCTAAGCATCAAGGAAACATCCCCAATAAAGGGACAGGCACCTGGAGGCTGAATGAGTCTCTTCTGGTGGACCCCTATGTAGTGACGCAGGTTACCTCAGACCTACAGAACTACTTCGCCGAAAACACGGCGCAAGACTCACCGATAGAACAAATCTGGCTAGCGCACAAGGCGGTCATACGAGGCAGCCTTATAAAACACGCCAGTAGAGCCAAGAAAACAAGGCTAGCAACCTATAACTCCCTGGTAACAGAAATAGCCACACTAACACACTCCAACAAAAGAGACCCAAATAGGGCCACTTGCAAAAAATTGATAGACCTCCAAAATCAATTAAGAAACATAGAACTAGCTAAAACAACATATATTTTACGCAAAGCTAAACATAACTTTTTTGCCAACGGAAATAGAGCGGGCGCCAAACTAGCGTCACAACTAAAGGAGAGATGTGTGGCCTCCAGGATTGCCTTCCTAGTAGACAATAAGGGAGCGAAGACTTTGAACCCACAATGTATTGTAGACCAATTTGCGAAATATTACAGTGAATTGTATAACCTTAAAACTGACCCCAACATGTTCTTACCTACACATGACGACATTGACGGGTTCTTGACGGGACTTGACCTACCAAAATTAACAAACGATGACCTAGACCTGCTACAACAACCATTCTCCATAGACGAGATCACGGCTGTAGTATCGAAACTACCAGCCCACAAATCCCCTGGCCCCGATGGCTTTACTAACGCATACTACCAGAAATTCTCACACATCCTCGCGCCACAGTTACTAAAACTCCTCAATACCTGCGCCGCCACAGGCGCATTACCAGAGGAGATGCTGCTGGCCCACATATCCACCCTCCCTAAGCCTGGCAAGCCCCCCACTCAATGTAAAAACTTCAGGCCCATTTCCAATGGGGATGCCAAAATCTATGCTAAACTCATCAGCAACCGACTAGCTCCTCTCCTACACAAACTGGTACACAATGACCAGTCGGGGTTCATTAAAGGGCGCCAGGGCTCAGACAACACCAGGAAAATCCTGAACATGTTATCCACGCTAGACACTAGGGGTTCGAAGGGACTCTTCCTCGCGCTTGACGCGGAGAAGGCCTTCGACCGGCTAAATTGGGAATACATGGCTAATACCCTACACAAATTTAACTTCCCCATGTCCATGATCAAAAGCATAATGGCATTATATCACAAACCAGCGGCCAAAGTCTCCCATGGAGGCTTCCTGTCCAACCCCTTCTCTATTACTAACGGCACCCGACAAGGATGCCCCCTCTCGCCCCTTCTATACATACTAGCCCTGGAACCCCTAGCGTGCAAAATCAGATCCCATCCAGACATACAAGGAATCCCCATACGAGACAAGAGGTACAGCCTGGCCCTGTTTGCCGACGACATTTTCGTGGCACTAACAGACCCCACCCGCTCTCTACCACATATGCTGGAACTCATACAACAATTTGGAAAAGTCTCATACTACAAATTAAATCAAGACAAAACCCAAGCCCTACCCATCAACCTGCCAAAAACCCTGATAAACTCCCTTCGCACCACATACAAATTTGATTGGAGATCCGCCTCCATTACATACCTGGGGATAAAAGTGGCACCCTCCACCTCGGCCACGCTAACATTAAACTACACACCATTACAAACGCTCTGCAACACTGAAATGCACAAATGGAAACATACGATGATCTCATGGCTGGGGAGGATTAATGCCTACAAAATGATGATCCTGCCCCGCATTCTCTATGTCTTTAGGATGATCCCCCTCAAAATACCCGCCCAATGCTGCAAAACACTACAAAAACTATGCAGCACTTTCATCTGGGGGGGTAAGAAACCTAGGGTATCCATGGCACTCCTCCAAACAGACACCCGCTCTGGCGGAGTTGGTCTCCCCAATCTCAGACAGTACTATAGAGCGGCTATCCTGTCCTCTCCCACACACCACCTAATACGATTCAATGGGTAGACATGGAAAGAGCACAATTCCGCAACCAAAGCCTACTTGACTATCTCTGGACACCCAAACACCTCAGACCGCGACGACAGGATCTCTTCCCAACCACCCAGCTCACGCTGGCAGTATGGGATGAATTCATGGGAGCCAATGGATATAACAACTCCTTCCACCCCAAATCACCCATCTCGATACTCAGAACAATGGTAACAGACATACCACTTCAAGACTGGCATAAAGCAGGGATCAAACACATATCCCAACTGATGACCGAAGGGGAAGTAACACCCTTCCCCACACTACAAACGCAGTGGAAACTCCCCAGCCGAGCCATCTTCTCCTACTTACAGATTAAAAGCGTAT